ACATTGGCAAATATGTTCTCCCATGCAGTGGGCTTTCTTGTTGTTTTGCTGATGGTTTCTTTTGCCATGCACTTTTTATTTTGATGTAGTCCCATTTGTTTATTTTCTCTTTAGTTTCCATTGCCCTAGGACAGTGATGGTGAACCTTTTGAGCTCGGCGTGTCAGCATTTTGCAAAACCCTAACTTAACTCTGGTGCCGTGTCACATATAGAAATTTTTTGATATTTGCAACCATAGTAAAACAAAGACTTATATTTTTGATATTTATTTTATATATTTAAATGCCATTTAACAAAGAAAAATCAACCAAAAGAATGAGTTCGCGTGTCACCTGACACGCGTGGCATAGGCTCGCCATCACTGCACTAAAACGACCAGTAACACCGCCCAGACGTCCTGCAGGGTCAGGCCATCCTTACAACGAAGCTGCTTCCCCCAAACGTAGACGAGGTTCCTACGAAACATGACTGACTGTGGGGAGACCCCGACTGTTCAGAGGAGCCTCCGACGCCACGCTCACCCTCTGACCTTTATACCCGTGAGGCCCCGTGTCTTCCCCCGACGACGGTCCCCCGGCGGCCTCGCCACGCTCTGTGGTTGCTGTGGGGGCAGCTGAGCTGAGGGGCCAGAATCGGGGCGTGGAAGCCGCCGGTGGAATCTCTGCAGCGGAAATAGGTTTCAGTCCACCTGCTGTTTCCCGCCCGCCGTGCCCTGGGCTGGAGCCCGGCGCTGCCCGTGGAGCGAGGTGGTGCTGAGTGCTGCTCCGAGTGCATGTGTTGCTGTGACATTGGAGAGGCAGGCCCGGTAGGACTTGGGGAGATGGGCCAGTGATGGCAGTGACGGCGCCAGGGACGCTTCGCAGACACTGCGCCGTGTGCGGCCTGGCTGCCTGGCACGGTGCGCTGGGAGCCTGCATCTGCTCAGCGTCTGGGAATAAAGAATGCGACGGGTGACAGGGCCCAGGCAGTCCGCAGCTCACTGAAAAGCCACCAGGACAACACCCAGCACCTGTCACGGAACGACATCGGCCACGACACGTTCCCTCCACGCTGTGCAGCAGACAGTACAGTACACACACTCGGAGCACACCGACCCCGTCCACCAACACTAGACAGCAGCAGACAGTACAGTACACACACTCGGAGCACACCGTCCAACCAACACTAGACGCTCACCTGAGATGACCCCAATGGCGGAAGTGACACCCACACTTAAAGCAGGTGTTAAACATGTGGCAAAAGACTTAAGTTAGAACCATAAACGGGATGTCAACAGAGAAATGAAAATAAGAAAATAAAACAAAGTGGAAATTCTGAAACTGAAGATACATATTTCATATTAAAAAAAAACTTTGCTGGGTGAGCTTAGCAACAGATAGAATTGGCAGAAGGGCCACTTAACTTAAAGACGGGTGAAGGGAAATCATTTAATCTGTAAAACAGAGAAAAGCTCATGGCAGGATAACTTACTACCGGGGAACATCGAGCAGTTTAATGCGCTGTACCTGGAGTTTTAGAAGAAAAAGGAGAGTAACAATGGGCAGAACAATATTTGAAAAATTGTTGGTTATAAATGAACCAAATTTGGTGGGAAAATATAGCTCCCAAGAGCACCACACGCCTCGCCCGGACACACCCAGATGCTGCTCAGGATGGCCATTCGCTGGGACGGGGCGTTCTGAACTGGGTTTCCCATGAGCACTGTCGCTCTGCAGATTTGAAAGGTGAAACATGAGAACAGTGAGGAGCATGTGTTCCGTGCGACCCTGTTTCGGGGGGAGATGACATGGAGTTCCGTTTCAGCAAAGCGTAAGCGAGCTCAGCGATTCGCTTAAGAGCTTAATTGGGTTTCAGTGCATAGCGGCCCCAGCTCAGAATACGCAAAGTGCAGTTGCATAACGCGTAAAAGCTGGATGTAGGGGAAGACAGGTCACTGACACATTTCAACACAGAAAATGTATCTCAGATTTGACCCCTCCAAACCTGCATCGCCTGGAGACCACGGGAGGGAGCGCAACAATAGAGTGTGTCACACTCAGTCGCAGCAGAGACGGATGGTGATGTGTGCCCCCCCCCCCCCACACACACACACACTGGAAACCTGGGGCTTTCCATTTCTTCTCACTTGTTCTCATAGGTGCAAATCCTGGGGACACATGTTTTCTATGGAAAAGGTGTTTCCCGGTGACGTTTTCATTTCCACAACCGTTTGCCGTAACCATATATTCCATGCCCCACCCGGCCACCTCCCACGCGGTGAGAGTGCCTTCTCAGAGTCTCCCAGAAGCATTAGGCCCCGATGGGGAGGTTCAATAAATTGTTAAAAGAAGGAGGAGTTCATGAGTCTCAAAACAAAAACCTCAAAATTCTTAAACATCAAAGAATTTATATTTATAATATATTTTCATCACTATTTAAAAATATATTTTTATTGATTTCAGAGAGGAAGGGAGAGGGAGAGAAAAAATAAAAACATCAATGATGAGAGAGAATCATTGATGGGCTGCCTCCCGCACGGCCCACACTGGGGATCGAGCCCACAACCCGGGCATGTGCCCTGATGGGTAATGGAACTGTGACCTCCTGGTTCATGGGTCGATACTCAACCACTGAGCCATGCCAGTCAGGCCCTGTTATCCTATATAATAAAAGCCTAATATGCAAATCGACCAAACGGCAGAACGACCGGTTGCTATGACATGCACTGACCACCAGGGGCAGACCCTCAACGCAGGAGCTGCCCACAGGCCCCAGGCCGGCCAGTGTGGGTGCCAGCGGGGACCCCTGATCAACCCTCCGGTAGCCCCGCAGATCAGCCCTAATCGCCAGCCAGGCCAAGGGACCCTACCTGTGCATGAATTTCGTGCACCGGGCCTCTAGTCTTTTAGTAATGACCTCATCCATTGCTCTGATGCCCTTCGGTCTCCCGCACTCACTGTCTCAGGGTTGTCACTCTGTGTCTTTGCTCCGTGTCCCTTGCAGCTGTGTCCTGTGGGAACCCTGGCACGCCCACCAACGGCATGATCGTCAGCAGCGACGGCATCCTGTTCTCCAGCTCCGTGGTCTACGCCTGCTGGGAGGGCTACCGGACCTCAGGGCTGACCACCCGGCACTGCACCGCCAACGGGACCTGGACCGGCACCGCTCCCGACTGCACAAGTCAGTAACTGGCCATCAAGGTCAACTCAAGGGCAGGGCCATGATATGCACTTGACCAGGAGCAACAGGTTTATGTTTCCAAGTGCTGTACTGTGATCTTAATACATAGAGAAAAAAGACACACAGAGGTTTGATATTTTGACTTTATGTATTTGACACTTTTAGATTCTTTTCTTTCCTTTCTTGTTTATATGGTTGAAACTATGTTAAGTGGCCAGCTGGGCTGGACATTGTCC